AAAAAAAAAAAAAAAAAATCATCAGCCAGCCCCTAAATCAGTCTGCAAAAAATTGACTTCAATAGATAGGTACAGTTTAGGGGCACCTGGGTGGTTCAGTTGGTTAAGCATCTGCCTTCGGCCCGGGTCATGATCTCAGGGTCCTGGGATCAAGCAAGCCTCACATCAGGCTCCCTGCTCAGCGGGGAGCCTGATTCTCCCTCTGTGTGTGCTCTCTCATCTCTCTCTCTCACTCTCTCTCAAATAAATAAAATCTTTAAAAAAAACAAAAAAGATTTCAAGAAAACTTATTATCTTCATATAAAATGAGGAACTATCATTGGGTCTGCATTTGCCTATGCAAATATCTTCAAGGAATTTTTTTTTGTTAAAGTATTCAGTATAACTTGGAATTGTAAAGAAACTTCCAAATAGCATCCCAAAAGGAAGCCCAGAGAGATCCCGATTTTGAGCCTGGGTTGCCTAAAATGTCAGGCTCTGAAGGCAATGAGGTCTGCTAATTTGGCATCACATTTGATTGACTTATTCTGAGAACGTATGAAAAGAGTTTAAAAGACTATATAAAGGGACGCCTGGGTGGCTCAGTGGGTTAAGCCTCTGCCTTCAGCTCAGGTCATGATCCCAGGGTCCTGGGATCCAGCCCCGCATCGGGCTCTCTGCTCGGCGGGGAGCCTGCTTCCCCCTCTCTCTCTGCCTGCCTCTGCCTACTTGTGATCTCTCTCTCTCTGTCAAATAAATAAAATATAAAAAGAAAAAGACTAAAAAAAGGCCACTGATTAAAAAGCGGAGGCTCGGGCGCCTGGGTGGCTCAGGCGGTTAAAGCCTCTGCTTTCGGCTCAGGTCATGGTCCCAGGGTCCTGGGATGGAGCCCCTCATCAGGCTCTCTGCTCAGCAGGGAGCCTGCTTCCCCACCCCTCTGCCTGCCTCTCTGCCTACTTGTAATCTCTGTCAAATAAATAAATAAAAAATCTTTAAAAAATAAAATTAAATTAAAATAAGCGGAGGCTCAATAATCTGAGCCACAAAAGGAAGATCAAAACCAACTGTGTTATGACAGGTAAAGACTCTGACTGACTTGTCTACACCTCAGGAAACAGAAGACCTCAGAATCCCACAGAACAAAAGCTCAATGAAAGCAGGAGCTATCTAGCATACCACCAGATCTCCAGCATGTGTCTGGCACACAGTAGGTACACAACACATTTTTCTCAAATTAATGAGAGCTGTTGAATAAATAAACTGTGTAAGAATACAGTTTCCAAAAATCAAAGGTTCAAAGAGAGACCTATTTTCAGTAAAGATCTCAACATGGAATATAATCTTTCCAGATTTAAAAAAAAAATTGTGGGGACGCCTGGGTGGCTCAGTTGGTTAAGCAGCTGCCTTCGGCTCAGGTCATGATCCCGGCGTCCTGGGATCGAGTCCCACATCGGGCTCCTTGCTCATCAGGGAGCCTGCTTCTTCCTCTGCCTCTGCCTGCCATTCTGTCTGCCTGTGCTTGCTCTCTCTCCCTCTCTCTCTCTGACAAATAAATAAATAAAATCTTAAAAAAAAAATTAAAAAAAAATAAATAAATAAATAAAAAAAATAAAAAAAATTGTGTTATGCCTCAAATACCACTAAAATTATCTTTTGTTTCTCAAGAACAAAATGCACCAAATGCAGAGTAAATGGGCCTTGATACAGATGAGCCCCACAAGAGTATTTTAAAAGGAGCAAATGGAGATGAAGCGTTAGCACACTACAGCACACTGACCAGCAAAAACCTGATATGCATATTTGATAACAACCCTCTCCAAAACTGTCGGTTTCCTCTGGTTTCTATTTCAGCTAGGTAAGCACTTTTTCAGTCTATTGATTTTTAGAAGTTTTCCCTTTCAGGTCACCAAGAACATCTCTATTTCCCTTGTCTTCTCTTCAGTAGCCCCAACTTTCCCACAATTCACCTGTACGGCTTTTTATTCAAATTCCTTTTGTTTGGAAAATCCTTCCCTTTCCTCCCACCGGAGCTGAAAGCATCCTCCCTAACTATAGTCCCTTTGGATTTTATGGAAGTTTCATTTCCTTGCAGCAGAGGCCTGGTCTATTTCCTGAAGCCAAATTCATTGTGCTCCATAAAAGTGAAAATAAAATCATTCAAACCACCATCAGGAACAGAATCATCTACCAATCTGTACCCTCTCCGCCAGTTTCTCATGCAAATATGCCTTTCTCGCAGTGACCTTGTGTTCCCTACATCCTGGCATCTGTATTTTCCAACCCACAGAATGTTTCCCTCCCAAGTCCATAAATTTTAAATCCTATGTAACCTAAAATTTTCTGCTGTAAATTCTGTTTCCCAAAGCTAAACAACCTTGGTAAAGGGAAGGAACCATGGACAGAAATTAGCTATTTACGATAATAACACTTTACCATGTTTAACGCTTTGGATGTTATTTCACCAGGAAGTGAAGAGATGGAAGAAGAAAGAAACGCCCTTTAGGAATACTTCATAGAGACTGTTTCATCTGATCTTTGTAACAACCTTGGAAGGCAGGCAGAGCACGCATTTATTACCCTCTTTACAACATCAAAATACACATCAAAAAGTTAACCTTCTTATGACTTGTCCAACCAATGTCCACAGACTAGCACGTGTCTGCCCAAAACTGTATTAACGTCTTGCCTCTTCCAACTCAAAGGCTGTCCACTATATACTCTCTCTGTATGTTTCTATCCTACAGCCAAGGAGCAACATCCATTTTTCAGCATTTCAGAGGGAGGACTGCCCTGACTTTTGGGACACTGTCTCCCTTCAACTGACAAATAGGAAAGTCACCTTCAGTTTTCCCAATAGAAAACACTGCTCTTTTCTTCCATATGTCACCACTAACAACTACTTCTTTCCAAAATAATTTCCAACAGTTCCTGTTTTAAAGGGACTTACTCATAAGGGGCTAATAATCCAGAAAGTCTGCATCAGCATATGATTTTCTCAATAAAGTTCAGGGCTGATGCAACATTTCCCACTCTCCAATTGTACAGCTAAAATGACAAGAACATAGAACAGTCAAAAATTGCGCAAGACAATGCTACAGTTTTTTTTACTCCACCACATCTGCCTCTATGGGTCTCCTGTGAGTCACTATCTTTTGTGATCAGTCATCATTATAGTCATCCCATTCTCTACTCTAATTATTTTATTTCTTAAAGAAAAGTTCAGCAGTAGAAATGGAATCTTATTACATCTTTCACTACCTTACTGAAGCACTGACCCCCTTAACTTAGCACCTTAGATGCCACATTGTTCCAATTTTCACCACTACTGTTTTACACAAACAAAAAAGAGGCAAAGTAAGGTTGCAATTCATTTGTTTATTCATTCAACAAACACATATGAAATCCTATCAGACACCAGGATCTGGAACCCAAAATTAAGCACCTGTCCCTCCTCTCATAGCCTGGTAAAGAGGAAAACTAAAGAAGTGATTACAGAATAAACTGATCTAGGTCAAGGTGGAAGTGAGCACAGGGCTTGGGGCAGTGGCCATCATGGAATGCTTCCTGGAAGAAGTGATCTGAGTACTTATAAGCATCTCTTTACTTTCAACACAAAATAAACCTAAAAGACTCAACTCTTCTCCTCGGAAGTTTGTACGATTTACATGCCAAATGTCAAGTCAAAAATCTAATTTAATAGCAGAATTTATTCTTGACTACCTGCCCTAAATTTCAACCTTTAACACATACTCCCACAGGTATACATTACAAAGGGTAAAAACTCTGTCCAACACAGTACCTCTCCCAAGTCTGTAAAAGAGGATTAAAGATAAATGAGAAAATGAAATATATTTTTTAAATGTATAATCATCTTCCTAACTGGAAATGAACACTTTGAACAATCCAAACCCTACAAAGCACGGCTATTGGAAGAGGAAACTGAGGTTCAAAAAAGTCCCACTTTAATACAACAGAATAAAAGATCTCTTTGAAGTCACCAGAACAGCTTGAACAAAAAGAGAAACAGAAGGCTATTGTGGGGCTTTAGCCTCCAGATGATGAACCCTAAACACACTGCAATGGTAAACAAACAAGCCTCAGAGCTGGAATCTGATTTGGTGACCTGACAAAACATTACAATTTAAGGAATCTCTCTCTCCCCATTCATTATTTCCCAAACAAAGTCCTACTGGCTGACAGCTCCTGTTTTTCTGCTGGTTTCTAGGTTTATTGCTTGTAAATTATAATGCACAGTGTTCTTTAAAAAAAGGTACAGGCAAATGAAAACAATCTTGGTTTTAAAGACCCATAAAAGACAGTATATGTAACAAATGAACTCTGTCTGTGTTTACTATGAGGACCTATTACTCCTTTATGCTACTCTGGTGGATTTTAAACTCAAATGAATGCTACCACTGCCCACTAAAGAGCAGGTTAGAGGAGGGAAGGAGCACACTCATACACCTGCCTCAGCAGGACCCCAGACTGCCTCCCTCACCGCTTCCTGCGCCTAGGCCAAGCAACTGCCCACCAACTGGGGCGGCAGACACCAGCCATTTACATTCTGCTATCCCAAGAAGTAGATCTAAAGTCACACTTCGATTTGGCCGGGCACATCCACATCGCCGCCACTCAGCTACCCAGCTGAAGAGAGGAAAACTCGCGGCCCCAGAGAGAAGGCTGGCGGCGGGCAGAAGTGGAGGAGAGGGTCCCGTCTGTTCCCTTTACTCTGCCTGGCCAAGGTGGGCCCGGGAATCCTACAACTCGGAGCGGCACCACCGAGCCCTTCCTCCTGCTTGGCCCAGGGGGCTGAGATCCCCCACCCCCGGCCCCTGAAGACCTGGGCCCCGGGGCCCCTGACCCAGAGCCACTGCCACGGCACTACCCTCCCGCCCTAGGCCGCCGACCCCCGGCCCCGCTTCCCGGCCGTGAGACCCTGCCCAACCCGCGCCGGGCCGCCCGAAGCCCTCTCGCCGCCCGGGGCCGCCCCGCGCCGCCCGACCGACCGGCGGGCCGCGCACCGTGTGGGACTGCAGGCTCTGGCTCGCCTCGATGGCTGCTGTCAGCGGCACCGTGTCGTCCAGCAGCACCTTGCCGGCTGGCGGCTTCTCCATGAAGGCCATCCCCGGACGCCCGTCCGCCACCGCCTCGACACCAAGAGCAGGAACCAGGCGCGCCGACTCCCGCCGCCCGCCCGGCTCCGCCGCCGCCGCCGCCGCTGTCAACACGCGCCGCCCCACGCGCCGCCGCCACCCGCTGCGCCCGCGGGGTCCTAGCGCCGGCGCGTCTCGCCGCCCTCGCTGTCAACACTGGCCGCCCTTCCCGCCGTCGCCTCCCGCGGGGTCCTAGCGCGATACTACGGCGGACGCCGCTGCCGTGGACCCGCGTTTCCAAGCTCCTCGCAGCCGCCAGCAGACCCGGTACCCTCAGCATCCAGCCTCAGACCTACGACACTCCACCCCAAGCCACCACGTCCAGAGATCCTCAGATGCGAAGACATGGCGTCCTGAGCCCAGCGATCCAGGAAATCTCCGGCCCATAGATTGCCAAACCAAGCCTCGCAACATTGGGCTTTTCACTTTAGGCCCTCGAAACCTGTACTAACAGACTTGAGAGTTTTACAGCTGGACCTTTCCCACCCAGACCTCCCAGGCCCAAGGAGCCTAACAGCCAGAAAAGGGACCTTCAGGATGAGACTCTCAGTCCGAGCCCTGCAGACCCAGAAACTTTCTAAAATAAGCCCCTAAGATTCAGGTTTTACTGAACCCTTGATCCTAGCTTTTCAGACCCAAGAACCTAAGAGCTAGGTCCTCAGAATTGAACCCCACAGTTGGTGCCTTTGGACCCCAGAACCCTCAGACCCATGTTCTTGGAACTGGGGATCCTAAAAGCTGGGCCTCAGTCCAGGACTCCAACCTCCGCCCTTGGCCCCAGCCACAAAAGCCTTGTCAGAAAGAAAACCTTAGACCCAAAATGGAGTCACTTATGCTAGGCCACATGACCAAACCAGAACTTACTATCTAACCTAAATGTGGTTTCAAACTCTCCCAGAAATGGAATTTTAACAGTCAGTCAGGAATTTAAAAGCGGCCCCAGTGAGGTAATCTGACCCGCAGACTCTACACGCCCCCCACCGCCAGGGGAAGATGAGGTAATTTGCATGGTAAGACCCCCTGCCCTTTCCTCTAAGGGAAAGTGACCTTGCCTGAAATAATTCTTTCTTTTGCTAATAAAGTCCTTGCCCCACCCTCCTTCCTATAAAAAAAAAATCAAAAACAAAAACAAAAACCTTCCTTTTTGTACAGCACCTCAGAGGTCCTTTCTGCTTGATAGATGGGATCCTGCCCGAGTTATGAATCACTTAATAATGTCTATTAGATCTTCAGACTTAGTTGGCTGAATTCTTTTAACAGCCTTCACCCCTGAAAACTCTCAACCAAGATCCTGCAGACTTGGGATCTTCTGTCCCATTGTGCTGGCTCCAAGAACCTCAACCTGAGAGCCCCAGAGCTTGGAGATCAACTTCCCAGCATCTCGTTTGCCCCTCACAGTCTTTCAGAAACCAAGGTCACAATACTGGCACTCCCCCTGCCACCCAGTCCTCTCCCCCCACCCTACCCCTGGAATCCCACCCACATCACTCTTTCCAAGGGCTGCATCCCAGGACAGTGGAGTTAGACTTGGAATCAGAGGAGCGGGATCACCGGGGCTCTGGTATTTACCAACTGTGTGACCTTGAATAAGTTACCCAACCTCTCTGAGCCCCAGCTCCCTATCTGCAAAATGGAGATACTACTACCTGTATGGAAAGGTTAGGATGTGGAATGCAGTAGGACAGGAAGGGGCTTAGCACATTTTTGCTTAACCATATTTGTTAACTTCCTTCCCCTACAGTTCACAGAATGGAGAGTTTCTCTTAAATTTGTCTCCCCTAGATTTTTGCATTTTAGACAAGAGAACAAAGTTTCGGGGCACCTGGGTGCCTCAGTCATTAAACGTCTGCCTTCTGCTCAGGTCATGATCTTAGGGTCCTGGTATGGAGCCCCGTATCAGGCTCCCTGCTCAGTGGAAAGCCTGCTTCTCCCTCTCCCACTCCCCCTGCCTGTGTTCCCTCTCTCGCTGTCTCTCTCTCTCTCTCTGTCAAATAAATAAAATATTTTTTAAAAAGAGAGAATAAAGTTTCTTGGTAACTGCCCCCCACCACCACCATTAGACATGACAGCAAAGGCCTAGACAGTATCCAAAGAATACCCTCTCCAAATCTTGAACTTACAGCGATTGTTGGGCAAGTAGCCACAACAGACTGACATGTGAAAAGGGAAACAAGGAACTTCATGATTCAGTCCTAATACAATCAGAATTCCAGTACTCAGTTTTTGTCTCCGTGTGTTTAAAAGCAATAGTCTAGGGGCGCCTGGGTGGCTCAGTGGGTTAAGCCGCTGCCTTCGGCTCAGGTCATGATCTCAGGGTCCTGGGTTCGAGCCCCGCATCGGGCTCTCTGCTCCGCAGGGAGCCTGCCTCCACCTCTCTCTCTGCCTGCCTCTCTGCCTACTTGTGATCTCTGTCTGTCAAATAAATAAATAAAATCTTTAAAAAAAAAAAAAAAAAGCAATAGTCTACTAAAACACAACCATATGTCATTTAGGGACCATTCAACTTTTTCTTCTTTTTTAATTTTAATTTTTTATTTTCATTTTCTTGAGGGGGAGGGGCTGGAACAGAGGAAGGAGAAGAAGGAGAATCTTAAGCAGGCTCCCTGCCCAGCACTGAGCCTGCCATGGGGCCCAGTCTCACAACCTTGAAGATCACGACCTGAGACAGAATCAAGGGTTGGTCGCTCAACCAACCGAGCCACCCAGGTGCCCCTCCACTTTTTACTTCCATTTCTTTAAAGCAAATTGATTATTTCATTATTTCATTATTTCATTATTACAATCACAGAAACTGAAATTCTGCTTGAATCATGATTCCTTTCATAACATGGACCGACCAAGATAAGGCTCTTCTCAAATACTGCTGGTGGGAGTATAAATTGCTCCATCTTTCTGAAAGGCATTTATTCAACAATAATTTTCAGAGTACTTACCACGTAATAATTACCTTACCCAGTGCTAGGAGCTGGGATATGACAATACATATCAAGGACTTTGAAAATGTTCTCACCCAGTAATCACACATTTGGAAGGGTAGCCTAAAGAAATAATAGAGATCAGTGCAAATAAATAGCATGCAGTGATGAATATCTAACAATAGGGAATTGGACAAATCATGGGATAATCAGAAGTAGAATATTTTGCAGTGATTAAAAATCAGATTATCAAAAGATATTTAATGATGTTGAGAAATGCTCTTGATGTAATAATGAGTGGAAAAAAGCAGTATGTGCACTTGTAGGATCCCAAGTTTTTAACATGTTTATACAGAAAAACAACAAAGGAAAACACCAAAATATCAATTGAGGGTCTCTAGGAAGGAATGCCTTCCATTTTTATGCTTTTCTGCATTTTCCAAAATGTCTCTAATGAAGATATTTACTTGCATGATTATGAAAAAAATAACATACAATCCAGTTGCGAAGTTTGTAAAATAACAGCCTTCTCTATTCCTCACTGGGGAAAAGAAACTGAAAACAAGAAATCGGATATAGGATGGAATGAAGCCAGAGACTAACTCTCAGTCAGACTTTCCCTTTCTCTGGAAATTCTCACCTGAAGTAGGACCTCAGAATAAGTGCTACAGCGAACCTTATCATTTCATTTTCATCTGCCCAAATCAATGCCTTATCAGTGATCCCCTGAGGATCCTGAATTTAACTGGCTCCTAAATCTTCTGAAGACCAGGCCCCAAAACTTGTGACAGCTTTTGAAGCGGCTCCTGTTGAATGTGGAGAAACCTTCCCCAGGCCAGAGCTGATCTAAATCCACTCAGCTTTGCTTCCAGCCTCAGACCCAGCAAAGTGAGTGAGTTATGTATACCTTGGTTTTTGCCACATACACAACTACTCAGGCTAGCAGGGAAAAAAAAAATATATATATATATATATATCCCTATATGTTGCCAAATGTGTAGATGGCCCACAGGTTGTTTAACAACTTGGCATTTGGCCAGGCTGAAGATAATGAGGATGCTTTAGTGAGGTTGCTTCCAGACCTGGCAACTGTTCTACAAAGCAAATCACAGAAGCTTGTGAAAAATTCAGTGCTTCCTAAGCAGCATTGCCTCCCAACTCAAAATTATTTTCCTTTCTTTCTTTTTTTATTTTTAAAGAATTTAGTTATTTGACAGAGAAAGAGCAGGAGAGCACAAGCAGGGGGAGTGGCAGAGGGAGAGGGAAAACCTGCTCCCTGCTGAGCAGGAAGCCTGATGTGGGACTCTGTTCCAGGACCCTGGGATCATGATCTGAGCTGAAGGCAGTTGCTTAACCAACTGAGCCATCCAGGCGCCCCTATTTTATTTCTTTAAATATTCATAATCTGGATAGAAAACAATAAAATTTGATCAAACTCACATTTGATCATTTTTCTTTCCCTTTGATGTTTGCTATCATATCACAGAGGAATTTTGCCCAGGGTTTGAAAGAAGGTCATACACAGCTAAAAGCCACCCTAGAAATTGATTGTGGCCTAGAAATTGACTGTTTGTGGGGCCTCCTATTAATCCTGTTCTATTTATGTAGTGTCAACATCAGTCTTGGGTTCTCTTAGGATTTTGAACTTAAATAGTTTCTTGTAGTTGATTTTGGTCCAACTCAACATTTCTCTGAAGATGTTGAGAATTCTTGTCTCTGCTGTGCTTGTAATCCAAATGAAGGCAAGCCAAGAACAAAGAAAGTAAAACATCTGGGACCCGAGAGATCCTGCAACCCAAGAGTCATTTCACAGCACTCCCATTCTGCTCAGATACAGCCAGGTAATAAATTATGCCAACACATGAGGCATTCAGAGGGGCCCAGTGGCTCAAAATGACAGTCAACCCTTGCTAGAGTATGTTTTAATATAAAAACTTAATAGACATAATTTAATAGCAATTTTCCTTGGGAGTAAATTGGTCTCTGAATCATACTCGAAGAACATAAAAGAAAAATGACTAATAATTCAGCACCAAATGAAGGCCTGTGGTTACCTAAGAGGTACCGGTGTGCATACAGCAATGTCTTCTTTTTCTAGATGAATACGCAAGTCAGGTCCACAAGATGAATGGAGGCTGTGCTGAGGCTTTCTTCCTGCTGCTACTCAAGATTTGCTGCTCAGAAAAAGAAATGAGTGGCATCTCACCAATATGGAAATGTTTCTAATAGAATATAAAAATCTGTTAAGCAATTTTCCAGTACATTAGGCTGAAATTGCTTAAGATGGGTATATCTTTCTGTAGCAATCAAACATGACATAAATTGCAGTCTTACAATGCCCCTATGTGGAAAGTGCTAGTACAATTTGGCCTGCTGTTTTAGTCGGTACTTTCATACTCACTTCCACCTGTGACCTAGTACAGTCAGGGCGGCCTCTCAATGGTCCCGGAGAGAATTTCCTAATTTGAGGGTCACCCCTGCTCTCATCAGAAGAGCCACATTCTTTTTGGCATCTCCCACAGGGCTCAACATGAAAACAAGCACCAGGCAGTTTCCCTTACAGCCAGCTTTCACAAAGCATGAGTGGCTTGAGCATCTCTGAGTAAAAACAAGAAGTCATCATTGACGGAGAAGTATCCTTTTTTTTTTTTTTTTTTTTAAAAGTTTTTTTTTTTTTATTTGTCAGAGAGAGAGAGAGGGAGAGAGAGCAAGCACAGGCAGACAGAATGGCAGGCAGAGGCAGAGGGAGAAGCAGGCTCCCTGATGAGCAAGGAGCCCGATGTGGGACTCGATCCCAGGATGCTGGGATCATGACCTGAGCCGAAGGCAGCTGCTTAACCAACTGAGCCACCCAGGCGTCCCGAGAAGTATCCTTTTTTGCCTACTTCTCTAGTCCAACCTTGTACTGATTTATGGAGATCAAAGGAGACCAGGGCATTCAGGGACCATTTTAAAAATGAAAACGGCCATATTGAGAAACTACTTTTGAATTACACAGTATCAGTGACCAGCCAGGTGTGACATTCCCTTTTTCCCCACCAAACTTGGCCAACACATAAAGGGTTATTCACCTTTAGAATAACCCTTTTGATGATTCTGCTTTAAAGACAAGTTATCACTGAAGATCAACTGAGAAAAAGGGTAGGTGATGGTTACGGGTAGAAGCCATTGAGTAATAGTATATAGGAAAATGCTGCAACTATAGCAGGAAGTGAGATCTAGCACATTTTGAATATAAAGAGAATTCTATAGACTCATGGTTCCAAATACTGTAATGCCACATGACGCGATACTATTACAGAAGCTGACAGTGCTCCAGTAATGGGAACGTTATGAGACCCACAGGGAGATGGAGCAAAGAAATGCTTTGGCACCAGGCAGGTCCCCATTTGCATCCCTGCTGTAGCACATACTGGCTGTACAGCCTTGGGCAAGTCACACAGCATCAGTCTGTTTCCTTGCCTATAAAATGGGACATTAAGTTTAATTCACGAAGTTTTCAGAGACTAGAGTTAATGTAGAAAACTGGCTCAGTGGGGCGCCTGGCTGGCTCAGTTGGTGGAGCCTGTGGCTCTTGATCTCGGGGTTGTAAGTTTGAGCCCCACATTGGGTGTAGAGATTACTTAAAAATAAAATCTTAGGGTCACTGGGGTGACTCAGTTGGTTAAGTGTCTGACACTTGGTTTCAGCTTCAGTTCAGATCATGATCTCAGGGTTAGGAGATCGAGCCCTGTGTCAGGCTCTGTGCTCAGTGTGCAGCCTTTTTGAGATTCTCTCTTCCTCTGCCCCTCCTCTACTCACACTTTCTAAATATCTTTAAAAAAAAAAAAAAAAAAAAAAAGAAAAGGGGGATGGAGGCACCTGGGTGGCTCAGTCGTTAAGTGCCTGCCTTCGGCTCAGGTCATGATCCCAGCATCCTGGGATCAAGCCCCACAAGCCCCACATTGGGCTCCCTACTGGGCAGGAAGCCTGCTTTTCCCCTCCCACTCCCCCTGCTGTGTTCCCTCTCTTGCTGTGACTGTCAAAAATAAAATCTTTTTAAAAAGGGGGGGAGGTAGAAATTTGAAGAAAAAATGGTAGCTACTATTATTAACAATCATATCACACTCCCATTTATGGACCTAGTCCTCAAGAGTGCTACTAGAGCCAGAGAATGAGTTCTACGGGAACAGACAGTCATGGCTTTGAGTCTGTATTTTGTGCTTCAAGTTTCTGGTTTTTTCCCCAACACTGTATCAGTTTTAGCTTCTGTAGCCTTCCCCTATGAATAAGTCTTCGTGTGCATCTGAGCCGCACAGCTGCCCATTCTGAAACTCATGAGAACGGCATCCTTGTTTCTCACATTGATTTTAGTATTTTCACCTCACCATCACCAACTAGAATATGGTACAATAGTCAACAGTCTAAAAATACCATTTATACACATCATTGCCCTCTAGTGCCTAGAATGATTTTTTTCTAATAATCTGCTTAATTTATCCCCTTGACGTAAAAATTAAAAAAAAAAAAAAAAATCTAGTTAGTGATCCACCAGGCGGAAAAACCTTTTCCCAGGAAATGGAGGTTGATCTCATCAATGACTCTTGCTCTATCTTCCTGATCAAAGCATCTAGCTGTAATCAGAACCACCATCTAAAGTCACAGAGCAGGGCACCTGGGTGGCTCAGTGGGTTGGGCCTCTGCCTTTGGCTCAGGTCATGATCTCAGGGTTCTGAGATGGAGTCCTGCATCGGGCTCTCTGCTCGACAGGGAGCCTGCTTCCCCTCTCTCTCTGCCTGCTTGCGCTCTCTCTCTGTCAAATAAATAAATAAAATCTTAAAAAAAATAAAATAAAAAAAATAAAGTCACAGAGATTTGGATGTTCTGTTATAGATTATCTTGAAAGTGTTGGTTGTGTTGGGATGACCACTCAGTACGAACACATTACATGCATTTCCTCTTCAGTGTCCAAGGTTTTTTTCTTAATACTGATTAAATTTTCAATATCCCTCAATTCTTAAGAACTTGGCCTCCACAGCATTCCTTATACTTTTTATTTATAATATCTTTACAATAAACATGTATTATTTATACAGGGGAAAATCCACAGTGTTTTCAAGGGAGGGAGAAAATAATCTGGATTACTAAAATAGAAATTTTGCATTCCAACTCTATTCCAGGTTTAGACTGATTAACATCTTGAAAAATGAGTCTGTCACCTGTTTAATTGTGGGCTAGTTTGCTCTAAACTTGGGAAAACCGCTGACCTCATTCACGGGGAGAATTGGATGAGCGGCTGGACTTTGCGCTTAGCTATTTGTACGTAGCATCTCCAACGGTCCTGTGTGGTAGGTGTTATCATCCCTGTTGTATACGTGAGATTGAGACAGTTTACATAAATGAGTCCAAACGTGCACATAAGCCCTCCTCTAATCACGGGGAAACCATCCGAAAGGCAAATGCCACTGAAGATGGAACAAGGTGCCATTGTGGTGTAAATAGTAACAAATTACGATGAACTCTGACCCAGAGACTGCTGAAAGACAGGATCTAAGTACCCGGACTGGTAGAAGGTAGGTGCTCAGAGATGACCTGACTTCTGCTGCTGCCTTCAGTAATTAAATGCTAGTTATATTTAAAAAAAAAAAATGCTAGTTATAAATTCAGTCACAAACTTACTCTGCACAGATAGAGGCAGGTTTGTTACTCAAATGCAAATCTAACTACATGTGAAATCCTAAAAGTAAAACCTTTGGCTAAATAACCTTCCTGGTATTTTTTCCATTTCAAAAACAGACGATGAATATACTCAAGTCTGTGAAGCATAAAACCAAACTGGACAGTGGACCTTGGAACGTCCCTCTACCTGCTCCCCTCCTCCAACACGGGCTTCTCGGTCTATAAGCCATCCCTTGGGGAAGAGCAGCAATCCCTTTTCCTCAAAGGCCCTAGAACAGTACCACTGGCACCTGAATGTGCATCTTTAAACACAGTTCAGGACTGGGGAGTTTCTGGGACCATAACTTTAACCCAGCCTTCCATAACAGTCTTTTCACTTTCTGTTACAAAACATGACACGGCAATAACGGCAATGAATCGCTTTAGCCTTTTCACCTCTGCGGAGGCTAAAACAACTTCTCCAACATATAAAGGGGCTGGAAAGCTAATTTCCTGTGAAAGTAATACACAGCCTGGCCCTGGCATTTTAGTTCCCAGGAGAGCTGAAATAAGTCCATTGACCAAAACTCCATGTACAATTGTCTTTCCAAACTTGGTGTGTTTTGCAAAATCTTCATTTAAATGCAAAGGATTAACATCCCCTGTTAATTCTGAGAAGGCAGCCACGTCCCTCTGTGTGAAGACCCTGCTGAGTTCAGCCCGGTCTCCAACTCTGACGTGTGTCTGCTCAATGCGCTGTCGGCTCACCACTGGTTGGCTCAGGCAGATTCTCCTCTGAACCCCAACCCACCACAGATGATGGCGGGAAATTACTGGGAACATCTTCAGCACTGTCAAATTCCAGCAACTGGAGCTTTTAAACGGCTTCAGTCTTCAGACAGCTTATTGTCACCAAAAGGTGCTTTTGAGAGCAGAGGAATGTTTCTGCAATTGACGACTATTCAATCCAATACTAGTTCCCTACTATTACCAGATAAGGCAAGCAGAAATGGAGAAACCTGTAAGAGAAAGAAAAAAGTTAAGGAAATCTGGGGAGAAACTGCACTGCAACACAGGGCATGTGGAAACATGCCTAGTTTCCTAGGGTAAGTGAGGCTGATGCAGTGGCATCTTAAAGAGCAACCTTAGAGGTAGCCTCAAATACATAAGTGATCATAGTAAGTTTAGTCTTCTAATATTTTAGGCACTAGGCATTAAGTAACAAATGGAAAGACTTTTCCACAAGAGTTCCAAGTTTCATCCCCAAACATCTCCCATACAATCTAAAATCTAAGTGCTTTCTCTCACACTTCCAGAAGCAATGCAGTCTTTATTCCTTCCCACTGCCCCCCGTAGATAATTTTAACCATACTAGATTTATGCAAGCAAAAAATGGGACATGTATTAAAAAGCAGTTTGAGGGGTGCCTAGGTGGCTTAGTCAGTTGGGTGTCTGACTCTTGACTTTGGCTCAGGTCATGATCTCGGGGTCTTGGGATTGAGCCCTATGTTGGGCTCCTTGCTCAGAATGGAGTCTGCTTGAGATTCTTTCCCTCACCTCTCCCTTAGCACCCCCCCCCCCCCAAAGCTCATTCTCTCTCATGGGCCCAGCACGCTGGGGCCTGAACTCTGCTTCGTTCTCTCTCATAAATAAATCTTAAAAAAAAAAAAAAGAAAAAGAAAAAGCTGTTTGACCCCTACTCAGCCTTGCTTGGAATATGTGAAGGAAGCCTTTACCTGAATCACTCTGAAAGCACATTTCTTGCCTTTATAGGATCCTAACAGAGTCAAAGAGCTCCACAACTTGACAAGACCACTGTAGAGAGATCAACAATGAATGCATAAGGATTTGTCTCCGTGACATCTCCCTAGTACTTTTGTGATGGGCCAGACAGTTAAATTAGTTCTAAAAAAACCTAATTTAAATGAGAAAACTTGAGTAGATGTGCTGCCAAAGAGAGCCCTAAATGAGAGAACTTTAAAAGTAAAAGCACAGTATCTCATAGGCAGAGAATAAAATAAGCTTCAATTAAGAATGTTTCTAAAATACACATTTTTGAGTTTACAACCATGGCCATCAATTGGGAAACACGATAGCTGTAAGCAAATCATGAGTTTTGTTCTAAGCTCCTGGTGGATAAATGTTCATATCCATCCCAGTTTAAACTTCCAAAAACTACTCAGAGTTCACATGACAAGCCTCTTCTTAGAGAAGAGTATTTTTGCTCTATTTCTCCATCCATGTCTCTCCTCTGTTATACTACAAAGGTGCCTCTGTCTGTCATACCTGCTACATATCCTCAAGATGGCTGACAGGGTCTTCTCTTCGTAGGTTAGGACGTCCAAGGGTAACGCTGCATCAACCTAAGTATGGAAAAATACTATTAGCAGACTATTATTGTCGCTATTTATTATTTTTATTTTTAAAATTTTATTTATCTGACAGAGAGAGGGAGATAGGGAGAGAGGGAACACAGCAGCAGGGAGTGGGAGAGGGAGAAGCAGGCTTCCCACTGAGCAAGGAACCTGATGTGGGGCTCGATCCCAGGTCCCTGGGATTATGACCCAAGCTGAAGACAGAAGCTTAACAACTGAGCAATCCAGGCTACCCTCGCAATTTATTTTTTTAAGGTAATCTCTACCCAATGTGGAGCCCGAACTCACAACCCCGAGATCAAGAGTCGCATGCTCCAGTGATTGAGGTAGCAGGGTACCTTCTACCATCACTGTTTTTTTTTTTTTTTTTTTTTTAAAGATTTTATTTATTTATTTGGAGGGCACCAGAGTGGCTTAGTCATTAAATGTCTGCCTTCGGCTCAGGTCATGATCCCAGGTTCCTGGGATTGAGTCCCACATTGGGCTCTCTGCTTGGTGGGAACCCCGCTCGCTTCTCCCTCTTCCACTCCCCCTGCTTGTGTTCACTCTCTCGATCTCTCTCTGTCAAATAAATAAATAAAATCTTAAAAAAAAAAGATTATATTTATTTGAGAGCAAGCTAGAGAGAGAAAAGAGAGAAAGAGAGCAAGCATAAGCAGGGGGAGGAGCAGAGGGAGCAGACTCCCTGCTGAACAGGGAGCCTAACACAAGGCTCCATCCCTGAATTCTGCGATCATGACCCAAGTCGAAGGCAGATGCTTAACAGACTGAGCTACCCAGGAGCCCCCATGATCACTAGTCTTAAAGTCTTACAACTAATCCTGTCAACTGCTTTTCTCCTCTAAAAAAGCAGTATTTTATTTAGTGGTGCTGTAGTACTGGGACTGCTTATTTACAATTATCCCTGTCTGGAATGTTCTTCCTGTAACTCTTCATGACTCTTTACCCTTCAAGACTTCGTTTAAATCGTTCCATCCCTGGGGGCACCTGGATGGCTCAGTTAGTCGAGCAGGAGACTTTCGATCTCAGGGTTAAAAAAGAAAAAGTTCCATCCCTAATCCCCAGGATTAAGCTCAACTGTCTGCTAGGCTGTTTCACATACGGAAACCACCTACTTCCTCTCTCGTAACATTCTTCATTCTGGAATGGGATATCATACCTGATAGAAGGTGCACACTTTTCTCTTAAACTTTTTATTTTGAAAAATTGGAATCACAAGGGACAATGTATTTTAGAGGAAGGTTCTATGCACCCCCGGTAATACAGTATCAAACCCAAAAACCTAAAATTGATAAACCAGTTTATTCAGATTTTGCCAGTCATACACGCACTCATATTTGTCTGTGCGTGTGTGTGTGTGCATACTTCTATGCAATCTTCCCACACAGAGCGTTTCATGCAACCACTACCATAACCACCAAGATGGTATCTCATCTGGTGAGATACCATCACCAGAATTAGATCATCATCACACGGCTGCTCTCCTACGTCGTTTTAGTCACACCCACTCCTCCCCCCAACCCCTAACCACGTATCTTTCTCCAGTTTATATACTTACTTACTTCAGGAGCATGATCCAAATGGGATCACCCAGCATGTTACCTTTTGGGATTAGCTTTTTCACTTAGCGTAATTCTCTGGAGATTCGGTTAAGTTTTTATGTGTATCTACAGTTTGTTCCTTTTTATTACTGATTATATTCTATGGTATGAATATATCATGAATGTTTAACTACTCACGGAAGGACATCTGGCTTATTTCTGCTTTTGGGCTCTTACAAATAAAGCTATGATGAACACTCACATACAAGTTTTGTGTGAACATTAAGTTTTCACTTCTCTAGGACAAATGCCTAGGTGTGTAACTGCTGGGTAGTAGAGCATATGCATGTTTAAGTTGTTTTTAGAAACTGTCAAATGGTATTCCAAAGTGTCTATGCCATTCTGCATTCCCATTAGCAATGAAGGAGTGACCCAGTTTCTCTACATCCTCACCAGCATTTAGTATTATCACCATTTTTAAAAAATTTTTATTTTCAGTTGTTCTGTTAGGTGTGTAGTGATAGCTCGCTGTGTTTTTATTTTTTATTTACTTTTTTTAAAAAAGATTTTATTTATTTATTTGACAGAGAGATCATAAGTAGGCATAGAGGCAGGCAGAGAGAGGAGGAAGCAGGCTCCCTGCCTGACGAGCCCCAAGATCCTGAGATCATGACCTGAGCTAAAGGTAGAGGCTTAACCCACTGAGCCACCCAGGCGCCCCTATTTACTTGTTTTTTAAAGACTTTATTTTTAAGTAATCTTGACACCCAACATGGGGCTCGAACTCACAACCAAGAGTCAAGATATCAAGAGTCTTATGCTCCATCAACTGAGCCAGCCAGGTGCCCCACCCCCATTTTGTTTTGTGGGGCTTTTTTTGAGCTTATTGTGTTGTTGTTGTTTTTTAATTTTATTTATTTATTTGAGAGAGAGACAGTGAGAGAGAGCATGAGAAAGCAGAAGGTCAGAGGGAGAAGCAGACTCCCCGTGGAGCTGGGAGCCCGATGTGGAACTTGATCCTGGTACTCCAGGATCATGACCTGAGCTGAAGGCAGTTGCTTAAGCAACTGAGCCACCCAGACACCCTGAGCTTATTGCATTTTTAAGGTGTGTTTCCCTAATGGCTAATAATCCTGAACATCTTTTCATTCATGTGCTTCTCTGTCAACAGTACATCTTTTTTTCTAAAATGTCTATTTGTGTCTTTTACTCACTTTCAAGTTGAAATGTTTGGTTTTCTTTACTATGGAGTTTTTAGAGTTCGTTTTATTTTATTTTTATTTTTTAAAAGATTTTTCATTTATTTTTAAGACAGAGAGAGAACAAACATGCATGGGGGGGAGCAGAGGGAGAAGCAGACTCCCTGCCGAGCAGGAAGCCCAATTCGGGGCTCGATCCCAGGACCCTGGCATCGTGACCTGAGCCCAAGGCAGACCTTTAACTGACTGAGCCACCCAGGCGCCTAAGAGTTCTTTTTCCATTTTAGATATGTGGTTTGCAATTAGTCTCCCCCAGTCTGTAATTTGTCTTTTCATCCTCTTAACTGAGTCTGCTGTGGAGTATACGTTTTTAATTTTAATGAGATGCTTACCAGATTTTGATTTGATAAAATATATGAATCAGGAAGTAATTTCCTGAGTCATCTTTGTTCTCTCTCAAAATTCTGCTTATTTTCAAGTAAATGCTAACATGGGACTATGCAGTGCGCTGGTCTGTGATAAAATAAGAGGCTGTAACACACTGTAAATCAACAGTATCACTAAGTACATTGTTTAGTTCAGCTCAGTTTTTTTTTTTTTTAAGTTTATTTATTTGTTTATTTATTTTTAGTAATCTCTACACCAGCATGGGGCTCTAACTCATGATTCGAAGATCAAGCATTGCAAGCTCTTCTGATAGCTCACCTCAAGGTTTGCTTACAGAGACTTTCTCAGTAAAGGAAGGAGTGTGCTGATTTTGGTGTGAGTCACAAATCTTCACAATGGGCAAGAAAACTGCACAGGGCGCCTGGGTGGCTCAGGCAGTTATGCATCTGACTCTTGATTTTGGGTCGGATTGTGATCTTGGGTCCTGAGGCTGAGCCCTGGTTGGACTGTGCTCAATGTGGTGTCTGCTTGGGGTTCTCTTTCCCTCTCCCTCTGCCACTCCCCCTGCTCACACACACCCTCTCTAAATAAATAAAATCTTTAAAAAAACAAAACAAAAACCCCAAAAAACTATTTGCAGGTTGTCAGTCTGGGCCACACTGTGTGTAGCACGGCACTAAAACATTTGTCTAACACGTTCCTTATCAAATACACAAAGGCATATTAGAATAGACCTACCCAAAACTCATCATTTCTGAAAGTCTGCTTCTGCAGTGTCAAGTGTGTTTCTAAAGTTTTAAAATAAGCATTTGGAAAAGCACTGTTTCGGTATTTCTTACAAAAATCTTGGGAATGTTCAATCTACCAAGTGATTCATACCTCCCCGAAGAGGTCTTTCAAGGCTGAAATGAGCAGCTGTTTGAACTGTGCAGCATTCAGTCCAACCCCACGATCCTGAAATTCTCTACAAAAACATTAAAAAGAAAAAAAATGTATTAAATTCCATACTATTCAGATTCATAAAAATGTAATCACAAATAGAACTAAAGAGACTGAACTTACAGGCAGACTTTCATATAATGGTACTCAGAGGGGTTTTTGTAAACTATTCTTTCATATGTGGTGGCTGGGGTTGGCATCTTTTCCAAAGCTGAACACATCTAGAAATTAAAAGTCAAGAGGGCTACAAATTAGCAAGGTACAAGCTGTTTTTCACTCCCCACTCCCCATTTTTTAAATGAGAATTTTTTTTTTTAAGATTTTATTTATTTATTTGACAGAGATCACAAGTAGGCAGAGAGGCAGGCAGAGAGAGAGAGGAGGAAGCAGGCTCCCCACTGAGCAGAGAGCCCGATGCGGGACTCAGTCCTAGGACCCTGGGATCATGACCTGAGCCAAAGACAGAGGCTTTAACCCACTGAGCCACCCAGGCTTTCCTTAAATGAGAATTTAACCCATTTTTATTTTTTCAAATTTTTAAAACATTTTTAAAAATTTTAAAAGATTTTATTTATTTATTTGACAGAGATCACAAGTAGGCAGAGAGGCAGGCGTGGGGGGCAGGGAGCAGGCTCCCCGCTGAGCAGAGAGCCTGATTCGGGACTTGATCCCAGGACCCTGAGACAATGACCTGAGCTGAAGGCAGAGGCTTAACCCACTGAGCCACCCAGGTGCCCCTTGATTTTTTTTTTTTTTAAGTAAGTTCTACACCCAGTGTGTGGCTTGAACTCACAACCCTGAGATCAAGAGTCGCATGCTCTACCAACTGAGCCAGCTAGGCATCCCAGACCCATTTGGTTTTTTTTCAAGCTTATTATTTATTTAAGTAATCTCTACATCCAAAGTGAGGATTGAACTCATGACCCTGAGTTCAAGTCACATGCTCCTCTGACTGAATGACCCAGGCACCCCTTGCCTTTCTTTCTTTTCTTTCTCCCTTTCTTTTTTTTTTTTTTTTAACCCATTTGATTTTTAAAAGAACTCCTAGTATAGTAATTCATTTATTTCTGGTCAAACCAAATTTACCCATAAAGATGCAAAGAAAAGATTTTCTACATGCCACATTGTTGTACTCTCAAATCCTAATAATATAATCCCAATGGACATTTTTTCTTACTAAGTACCTAGCTCTGGGCTAAAAGCCCCACATGCCTTAAGTCATAAGTTTTCAAAATGATCCCATGAGGAAAAACTATTATTATTCCCACTTTCCCCCCAATCCATTTTTGAGAAGAGGACACTGAGGCTTGGCAAAGAGAGGTAACGCTTGCCCAAGGACACACAGATTCCAAAAACTCCTGAGCCCCTCAAGACCACTCTGGTACAATGCCTCCTAATTTAAAAAAAAAAAAAAAAAAAAAGCGACACCTGGGTGGTTCAGTCAGTTATGCATCTGCCTTCCACTCAGGTCATGATCCTGGGGTCCTGACATCCTGAGCATCGGGCTCCTTGCTCTGTGGGGAGCCTGCTTCTCCCTCTACATGCTGCTTCCCCTGCTTGTGCATGCTCTCTCTCTAACCAATAAATAAAATCTTAAAAAAAAAAAAAATAGCATACAGGAATAAAATGTAGGATCTTCTTGTTTGCTCTCAGTCAACACAGAACATGAAGAGGAGAATGAGGAGTGGTAGCTCTGCTGTTCCATCCCATGCTGGATCTGCCTCTTCTGTCTGAAGGTCAGGTGTATACAGAGCTATCTGGTAGCCCCTACCCCCAACAAAGGGCTGAGCTTAAAGAGCAAGGGGTTTGAGAGGAGGGATTCCTGGAATGGGCAATCAATATAATTTCTTTTTTTTTTTTTTTTTTAAGATTTTATCTATTTATTTGACAGAGAGAAATCACAAGCAGGCAGAGAGGCAGGCAGAGAGAGAGGAGGAAGCAGGCTCCCTGCTGAGCAGAAAGCCCGATGCGGGGCTCGAACCCAGGACCTGGGATCACGACCTGAGCCGAAGGCAGCGGCCCAACCCACTGAGCCACCCAGGCGCCCCTCAATATCATTTCTAATAGACCTGGATCCTTCAAGAATTCAGAACATGCTGGTCCCCTGCGGAGAATCTGTCACTGGCTCCACTCCTACCTCACTCCCCCTCTGGATAGCCCCTACTCATCCTTTGCATTTTAGCTTAAAGCTCACCTCTTCCAGAAACTTTACCTCCTCAAGAAAGCCATCTTTTGGACACCTTATTCTACATTAGATTCACTTGTTATGCAATCTCTTAATACTATTTGTTCAATATCTGGTTCCCCGCTAAAGAAACCAGGAAACTGAGGTCCAACCAAAGAAAGGGACTTAGCCAAGGTCACATAGCTGTAAACCAGCATTTACAAAACCTTTGCACCAGGCTCAGTTCCAACCACTCCTAGATGATATCCTCAGAGAAAAGGAGAAGTTAGGGTCAAGGAGCTACATCCAAGCATCCACTTAGAAACATGAATAGTTACTGTGTCTGGCACAGTGTTTCAATAAACACTTACTGAATGTGAGAAGTATTAGGCCTGTATGTTCAAGGATACTTTTGCTTTCAAGAAAGACTGCAGAAATAACCACCTGATGATTTTTTCCCAATCATTAGAGTCGTCCCTGACTAGAAGGGCAGAGAGAATAGGGCCCTCAATCACTTCATTCATTGTCTGGCACCCGATGGGTGTTTTTTTAAGAGTCACCATCAGCCTTGATGGAATTGGCTGTCTGAGCTAGGGGAATGAGACTTGGCCTGAGGCTCAGGATGCCAGTAACAATGAAGACTTTTCTGGAAATGGATAATGATAATGGTTCCATAACAGTGTCAACATACTTTGCATCAATGGGCTGTACCCTTAAAAATGGCAATTTCATGTTATGTATATTTCACCAAAAAAGACTTAAGGAGCAAGTGTTTACTGAGCAGTGACCTCCACAAAGGCCTCAGCCTCAAAGGCAGTGACAGTATTGCCCTCTGCAGGCTGTCCAGAGATTAAGGGAGAGCATGCCTGGGTACCCTTCCTACAGCCAGGCTCACCGTAACAATGGAGAACTTCCATAGCTCTTGCTATCATCATCTTTGAAGCCAGCCTTTGTAATGGCTGTAGGGATGCTCATTAAGTGACCTATAGTCATAGGTGTCCTTAATTCCACCTGCTGCCCACTCTCCCCCTATCTAGTCTCTACAGCAGTCAGAATGAGCCAGTTAAAACCTATTCGAGCCCTCGCCATTCCTCTGCTCAAAACCTTGCAATGGTTCCCGTTTTACTGAGAGTAAACCCAAAGGACTTACAGGACCTGCAAGGCCTTACCTGAACTGTACCGCTGCCTCCTCCAACAGCTCTGACCATGCTCCCTTGCTCAACCCCCTCCACCAGACTCCTAGCTCTTCCTCACACACCGTTTCCCTCCCGCCTCTGCGCCTCGCTCCTAGCTTTTCCGCACGCTGGGAATACTCCTCCACCAGGTAACCGGATGGCTCGCTCCCTCGGTTCTTTCACGGCTTTGATCAACTCGCACCCCTCGATTTGGTCCGGTGGCTGTTCTAATACGGCAGCCCCTCCACGCCCCTGTTCTAGTTTTCCCCCACAGCACTTAACCACCTTCTAACACAACTACGTAATTCATTTATTCGCTTTGTACTTGCCTCCCCCATCCCAAAAGAATATACACTCCGCAAGAAACCCAGTTCTATCCTGTTCACGACTGTTTCGCAGATATCGAAAAGTGTATCGCACACAGTATACATCCAATGTTTAAGTTTTGGACCAAATCAATCATTTAAAAAAAAAAAAAAGCTCAGTCCCCCACTGTTGGACACTTAAGTTGTCTTAAACTTTTTTTTTTTTTTTTTTTTAACGACCATCCGCCATTTATTGGGCGCCCACCTGGCGCCGGGCGCATGCGGTCTGCACACGTGACTCCGCTCACTCCTCGCAGCCACCATCTGCTGCCGAGACCCCGTTGTACAGATAACCGGGGAGGTGCTAGGCCGGAGCTCGCCAGCAGCCCACTGCGTCCTAGGCCGGAGCAGATAGGTATTTCAGACGGTCGCGCGCCGGCCGCCGTAACTCTCCGCTTGCGCATGCGCACCTGGCGCGCACGGCCGTACGTCACCAGCGTGGCCGACTGAGCTCACTCCCGGCAAAAAGCCGCTCTTCTATGGGCGTCTGCTTACCTGCTTTCGGTCAGATTAACCTGGCGCCTCCCTGATTTCTGTTCACTGCAAGAATCCACCAAAGCTGGGAGCTCCTCTGCAGTGGCCAGACCCCCGTACCCAGGAAACTCCGGGATTACTTACGTTTGGCTCCTGTCTGTTTCGCTCCCCGGAAGCGTAATGGCTAGGCACGGATATGACGTCACCGCGCGGCGTCCGCCTTGGGACCTGGGCGTGAATCCTGCAGGAGCTCAGACTGGCCGAGCTCAGTGCCCCCTGGTGCCCATTCCAGAGAAAGCTCTGTGACCAAATGTGTGTATGGGGTACTGGACTCCGGACGTATTTATTCGTCCCAGGAGCTCGCGTTCATAGTCGTGCATTTATCCATGCATTCATTCACTCAGCTTTCAATGTAGCATCTCTTCTGCTGAGCATCTTACATCAAGCACCCCAAGGACTGGAGCCACTCCTAATGTCCCTTGAGGCGCCCAGCCCATAGTAGGTTATCCATCTGGGTTGACATAAGCTCCAGATGGTCCTGTTTTTAGATGTAAGCCAGGTTTTTTCATCTATGCATTAATTCGTGCTGAGTCCCTATTATGTGCTGGTACTGGGAACCCAGCGGAGAACAAGAAGATACGGCCCTGTACTCGTGAAACTGATAGTGTTTGTAAATAATAATAATAAAATAACAACAACAATAATAATTGCAGTTAATATTTATCGAGTACTTTCTTTGGCCAGGCTCATGAAAAAAAAATTTCTTATGTTAAGTCGTGGAACTCTCACACAACCTTAAGGTAGCTATTACTGTGATCATCCCCATTTTACAGGGGTGTAGACTGAGGCCCGAGAGGCTGTTACCCAAGACCACCCAGGTGTAAACAGTGGAGCAGGCGGTCTGACTTTAGATGGTGCTGTCCATACTGCCCCATACTACTATCAGTTGTGTGGCATGAGTCAAGGGCGTGTGTGGGAGAGGCACTGGGGCTGCCAAAACTTGAGTGTAAGCCCCATGAGCATGAGGCCTTGTCTGTGCTGGCTCACTGTTGCATTCCAGTGCCTGGCACTCAACACACAGCACACCGTTAGTAAATGCAGTAGTTCCTAGGTGGGTGTGCTGATTCTGCCTGGGTTGGAGGCAGAGGGTTGCCCGGTACAGGCACACATGAGCCTGAGTCAGCTGGGACCTTCTCTCTTGTGTCTTTTCTTGAAGTTCCACTTTCTTCTGTATCATCCTGCAACCTGTCCTTGGCTATAGTCATGTTCTATGGTTCTGTGGCCCTGCTTCCCTTCCTTCTTTCCTCAGAAGAGACAGGACTTGTTCCAGATTGGGGGAGAGGTAGAGGAAATCAACACAGACCCCACAGACAGTGACATTTTCTTTCTTGAAAGAGGTTGGGTTTCAGAAACTGCCCAAACTCACTTCAAATACATCCTCTGCCACTTATTCATCTCTGTCACACAGAGAGATTAGTAGGAAAGAGTTGTGAGGAAAAAATAGTGGGTGTGAAGTATCGGGCTCAGGAAACACTCTGCAATGGGAGAGGTCCCCCAAACCAGCCACCTGGCAAACCCACCTGCCAGGCTGCAGCCCAGAAAAACCAGAGCAGCTCATGTATTTTAGACTTCAAAGAACTTGGGTAATTTTCACTTTTCTGCACCAAACCCTGAAAATGAAGTGCCTTCCACGTTCCCTGAATTTTCTCAGTGTTGCCTCATTAATTCAGAGTTTAGAATAAAAGAGATGCCTTTGAATGATAAAGATAGTAGTTGACTTTTCTCAGTTAAATTGTATCTGTTTTCTTAGAAGATACTGTTGGCATGTGGCCTACATTTCAAATAGTATGTAGGATAGGATAAACAATGAAAAATAAGTCTTCCTCCCACCCATTACCCAGCCAGCCTTTGTCCAGAGGGATATCCACTGGTAGGAGTTTCTTAAGTGTCCTTCCAGAGATACGGTAGGGGGGGCTTTCCCTTCTTAACAATGTATCCTTTTTTTTTTTTTTTTTAAAGATTTTATTTATTTGGCACAGAGACAGCGTGAGCTAGCGCAAGTAAGGGGAGCAGCAGGCAGAGGGAGAGGGAGAAGCAGGCTCCCCGTTGTAATGGAGCAGGCGGTGCTCTCTCTCTATGCGGGGCTCCATCCCAGGACCCTGTGATCATGACCTGAGCCGAAGGCAGAAACTTAACGACTGAGACATCAGGTGCCCCTCTTAACAATATATCTTAACATCACTCCAAAACATAACACACGAACCGGCCTCAGTCTTTATAGACATTGCCCAGCATTGCATTGGTGGAGTCATTTGGCTCAAGATGGCCATTCCAGACACTGTGTTTCTGATATTTCACAGCCAAGTTGTTGGGGCGGGTCAGGGAGTGTTTTATGTTCCTGGAAGCTATGGCAGCCAAGAAAGAGTTGAGTCCATACTTCCTCCCCCTGCTGTGTTCAGCTTTTCCCTCCCTGCCTTGTGAACTGGTGCCAAATGGCTTTTGCTAAAACTGGTGCTTTCACAATGTTGGGAAGAAAAGGCAAGAGGGGGGTGTAAGTAGGATTACAGCCACAAATCTCCATCAGACTCATGGGAATCATATCCACTGATGGCAGCAGATTGAGAAGGTAGGACAAAGGGAGTGAAAATGACCAGGAGCTAAAAGCTACGGGATGACAGGTGTTGTTTCCATTTAGGGAGACTTGTCAAATGCCGGAGAGCGTGCTCACATTATCCCATCTACCCCACAATGTCACATTTTTGCCTTTCACAGATGAAAAAAGAGAAAAGAGTTTAGAGAGGGTAAGTCATTTGTCTAAGGTGGTGACAAGCTCCAGAACCCATGGGATGATAAGGTTGGAAGTTGCTCCTTGAGGCAACCCTCAAAGGAAATTGAAAGGGAGGCACGTTTTTGAGTCCCCAGAGGCCGAGCGTGAGACAGGGATCCTCGTGGAAGTAATTTATTGGGGGCAGCTCTCATGGGAAACCTGCAAGGTAGGATGGGCAGGGGAAGAAGCTAAGCAAAGATGTGGGTTCAGCTGAAGCCCAGCCTCAGGCTGATCCCACAGGGAGCCCTGGAGCATAAATGATAACCAGCAAGCTTCTAGCCTTCATCATACTTACTCACCCCCACCCCCTGTCATTGACGGCCAGCTGTAGGGTCGCCAGATTTAGCAAATAAAAATACAGTTGCCCAGTTAAATTTGAATTTCAGATACACAGTGAATAGGATATCCTTATGCTAAATTAAATTTAGCTGGGCAGCCTGTATCTTGTCTGGAAACCCCAGGAGGTGTTTCTCAGGCATCTCCTGTGTCTTCTCCTGTGGAGAAGGGCAGGTGTGTTTCCTCAGCAGTGATGGGGAGGCATCAGTCAGTAAAGGGGATCTGGGAAGGGGACATTAGCAGCACATGCTGCAGGCAAGGACTCTGGGGTGCAGCTCCCCAGTCAAGGGTTAAAAAAGGCCAGAAGTTCCTGCCCAGACTGTCAAGTCCAAACCAGCCCCATCATCCAGGGGAGCAGCACAATGGCCTCGTCCCTGCCTCAGCCCCAGCATCCCTGGCTGCCTTCTGAGGGTGTTTTTGCTCCTTCCCAGTCAGTTCCCTGCTTGTGTTGGGGTCGGAGTGGGAGCCAGGCTATTTAACTCTGTTTCATCCAGCATTTCTGAAATGCATTTAAATGATGGAGGGAACGTTCCTCACAAGTGACGTTAGAAACTTCTCCCCTAAAGAAAGGCTCTAGGACCCTAGGAAGGGAGAATTTGGGGAGGGGATAACCACCCTGTAATTAAGCAGCCTATTTCTGGAGGGGCCCAAGAGCCTTTCTTAAAATTCAGAGATCCTGTCTGAGGGATTCAGCAAATCATGCAAAGATTCTTCCTGCAAAGAAGTGCACCCTTGCTGTACCCCACCTTTCCCTGGAGGCCTCTGCATCTCCATTACAGGGACCTGGGGGATCTGTGGGTTCTGACCTGTAAGAGGCCAAAGACATAGATGTAAGTGAAAAGAACAAGCAGGGGCTGTGGGGTCAGCAACAGTAGTGTCCAGCATGACCCATTTATGTAAAACACTCCCCCCCAATAAACCCACTGGGGGGACCTCTCTGTTGATACATATGTATGTATAAGCATATTTTTTTTTATTTTTTTAAAAGATTTTATTTATTTATTTGACAGAGAGAGATCACAAGTAAACAGAGAGGCAGGCAGAGAGAGAGAGAGAGAGAGGGAAGCAGGCTCCCTGCTGAGCAGAGAGCCCGATGCGGGACTCAATCCCAGGACCCTGAGATCATGACCTGAGCCGAAGGCAGTGGCTTAACCCACTGAGCCAT